GGGGGTTAATCAGCAGATAAAACCCATTCAAATAAAGACATTGAGGGACACCTCACAATACAATTACGTAGTTTCACGATTTTCTCCAAGCTTTTTATTGGAAAAACAATGAGAGTCCAGGTCATGGCCACTCTCTCTTTTCTTCAAATAAAACTTTCACAAAACTTTGAAAAATGAAATGACTTGGGCACTGGTGTAATAATGCTGACAAATGCAGGCATTTTAGTTTGATCTTGTCTCCCAGCAAGTGAAAATGCAAAATTGTCCATCTTGTCAGAAAGTCTCTAACCCTCCATTATCACCGATGAGATGCTTATATGGCATATCATATATATATATGAGTATGCCAACATCAGAGGAAAAAAATGGGGAAAAAAAACTTTTCTGAACTAGTAGCACCTTCTTATTATGAGCATGTAAAGTATACATAGAGAGTGTCTGAACAGAGAAATGAGTGGCGAATCATATAATTTACTGACGTCAGTTTAACATCTGGCCCTTGTTGAAGATGATGAAAGTATACCAATAGTATATATATTTATGCGGCGGCATAAACAAGCCATCTCCCCTCTCCGTGGTAGAAAATGATGCTGCACTCGAACATCTCGCTGAAGGGAGAGTGTCTTGCTTTTACTTAGTTTCCTGAAGCCCATAAAGACACCAGAACTCCATCAAGTTTCTTTTCCTTGAAGTGTTTGAAGTGACCGGTGGGATCCTGACTGGTTGTAGTGCATCCTCTCTCTCCTTTCTGTATCACTGCTAGAGGAACTGAAGTCTCTCCTTTCACTTAGCAGTGTGCTGCTTGGCAGTTCTCTGAAGTAAACAAACAACAAAAAAAGACTCAACATTTACCTATCATTCATACAATTATGACAACAATGTCAAAGTCATGGTCAAAGGCATTATTTGTAATACTAATACACAAACAAAATCAACAGGATTTAAGCTCGTAACAAAAGGGCTACCTGGAACACATGGTGTAGAGGGAGTACAGGGTAAGACTGCAATGTGAAAAAAATTTTCAGTTAGAACCTTGACCACTTGTTATTCCAGGGTCCCGAAATGAGGCCAGCAGAGAACAACTAATAATTTTTCTTTGAAGTAACTAGATCTATACTCCAAATATAGCCTCAGACATTAAGGCTGAAACAACAGGGAGTATTTTCAGAAAGCTATAATAATCACTCAAATTTGAAGGATTGGTCGCTTTGAGAAAAACAGTATCATGAATTACTACCAGATAGTAGATAGCGTGTCAATCTGCACAATGTTGGATACATACAGTTATGTGAAATCCCTAATGTACTGCATACCTTTCTGCTTCAGAAAGCTAAAATTAAAAGAAATTCAAAACAACATTGCTCTTGAAGCCTTTAGTCAACAGAACGGTGTAAATTATTAAAACTGACCCCAAAAAACAAGTGGACAAGAAATCTTCCAAATTACCCTGTTGAAGATTTCAACGGAGAAGTAACAAGCAAATAGGAGACAATAAGCTTTGAACAATTCTAAAACTACTGGGACTCACAAGTCTCGTAACACGCCTAGCCATGTCTCCAGAATGGGCATTTCCACCCAAATTTTGTGCTGAGCTGATCTCCATCTCAGGTTCACCTCCTCGTCTCCCATCCTGCACATGGCTATTTGTTGCCCTTGCCTTCCCACCGATAGATCCGTCTGTCCGCTCACGTGCACCGAGCTTCTGTCGGAACATGGCCTGTTTTTGTTTCTGTCGTCTCAGTCTCTCATCCCTCGACAAAGAAAGGAATGGCTCAGCACCAGATGAACCAGAAACCGAACAAGAAACACTTTCAGAATTTTCCTCCACAATTCTAAAGTTACTCACCACAGTAGTACTAATTTCACTCACCAAAGTTTTAGGATTTCCCTCTAGAGTAATAGAAATTTTAGATGAAGTCTTTGAATTTTGAACTGAAGTCCTTGAATTTTGAACTGAAGTTTTAGAATTTTGCACAGAGTCGGAAGCCGGGCTCACAGCACCATGTCTGCCAGCAGACGCTCCCATCAGCCTCGGCTCATCTGTGAACTCCATGTCATCGAGCCACGTGTTCTCATCAAAGAGTTCAAAATCTTCCAACGTTCCCATTCTGTTCTCTTTCTCTGGTGCCGCCACCTCCACCTCTGCCATTTTGCCCCCTTTCAACTGCGTAAAACCATCACTCTCACTGCGCACCTTGGGACTGGACAAACAGGTACGTCCATCCAGACTGGACGCCCCTGCGCCAGGGTTTAATCCCACTTTCCTCAAGTCAGAACTTTCAAAATCCTCTTCATCTTGGTTATCTTCTGTGCTGCTGTTCAGAAACTTTCCTCTTTTTGTTGGCCGTGCTGAAAACTCTTGAGTCATCGGTAGACGATCATCCTCATTCTCCGACTCACTGGAGGAGCTGTGGATCATTCTAATGCGGCGCTTTCCTTCAATCTTCTTGCACTTTCCAGCTCTCTGATTGTCTTTCTTCTTCTGTCTCCTTTTCCCCTTGGGCCGGGCTGGACTAGAAAGGGAGGCAGACTCTGAGAACAAAATATGTTTTTGGATAAGGTTAAAAATTAGTGTCACAGAGGCTGGATACATAAAACAAGATTAGATCTATTTAAAATCTGTAGGCTAAAACCGCACCGGGACATGGATGGCTGGTGCTTCTATAAATAAATTATTGATGGTCAAGGTTAAAATCTGTATTGCCCAGACACTGGCATGTTGATGTTTTACTACACCCATCCACCCACACACACACCCACAAACATAATTATACCCCCCCCCCCCCCATACACATGCATTCACACACCCTTTCTCACACATCCTCTCTTTCAAACACACACATAATATCTGCTTACACTGCACTCACAATAAGACCCACAGTCACACAATGATATAAATGAACAATTGTAAGCAATAATATTTATTTAGCACAAAAGAATCAAAATTAGTAGAACAAAATTCTAGAGCAGACCACCACATATTGGATTGTTGCTAGGGGGCTATCTGTATTTATTCAACATTATGGATAAGTCATGACATGAAATCTTCAGATTATTTTACTAACTCTGGATTGAGAAAAAAAACTCCCGTACAGTTGAGGTCTCCGTTATCACTTTCACGACTTTGTAATGCAATAATTTCATCTTCTTCAATGAAGTATCTCTTGACAAAACGTTGACAATGACATACATTTTGTACTTAAGACCTATGAGTAAAGACTGTATATATACACACTTCTGTTTGGTTTTAGTTTGGGGATTTATTTTCATTTTGTCTGCCTCTATCTTTTTTCTCTTAATATTATCATATCCTGGAATGACATCTGTACCGTCGGGACTTCACAATCACAACATGTAGATCTAGACAGACATTGAAAGCAACAGGAGCCAGACACGACTGTACCGGTGGACGTACTCTTTATTACTGACCAGTAGTGACCACTCTTCTCTAAAATACGTGCCAGTGGTTACAGTTGCCAGGTCTTCCTAAATACTAAGGCAATACAGGTGGTTTGCCTAATAGTAATGGACATTACAACATCTTCCCCAACCATTTTGGTTTGTTACGTGGCTGCATCATTGTTACTCTATAAAATCGTCAAATAAAACAGTTAATAAACACCACTAGAGAGATTGCTCAAATAACGATGTACAAATCAGGGTTTCTATATTGTCTTTCAGTCTACCGTACTGCTGTTTTTGGATTATCTGTGTTCTGTGTAAATGAATTCCACTGTAAATATGGTGTTTTAGAGGGTTATACGGCGCTCGCAAATGCATAAGGTCATATGAGCGCCAGAAGATTAGAGGTGTTACAAGAGAGTAACAAACATAAAAAAGAAGAAGGGGAGAAAAGGAAGATAGATGTTTGATAGGAAAGAAGAAGCAAACCACACCAGAGCACATGCCAACCACCCACTTGGAAGGCTTGGACGTGACAGGTAAAAAGCCTACAATCAGTAATGACACCTTGTGGGCTTTGGTGCTGGGGGGGAACTGAGCACTTATGGACATGTCCGGTGTGCAATGACATTGTTGCCCAGGACAGGTAATACAGGAAATAAAGGTAAAAAGCCTTCTTTCTTGCTGCACCACTGACATTGGCAGCAGCCTACACTTGAGACGGCACTCACCACCGGCATCAGAAGCGACACAAAAGCTGTCCTCCTCGTACTCAGAGAGACCGTAGTCCTCAGGCACGGCTTGGGAAAAGATCATGTCGCGATCGTCGTCACGTTCCTTCCAGCCGTACTGCAGCTTGAATGCACCTGCTTGACCAGCTGGGGGGCTCTTCACCGACTTCAGATAAACAGCTCGCATATCTGAGGAAATGAATGTGCGATGCTTAATGAAAATGGCTTGCATTTCTGAGGACAGGGAAGGAATACAACGGTTGGTGAAAATAACTCACATCTCACATGTCAAAGGGTGATTTTTTTTTTGTAAGTGTTTTACAGCAGTAAGAAGGAGCCAAAGAGTAGCAGTAGAAAGACTGCAGAAATAGTCAGTAGCCCAGATGAGGGGGCAAAGGAGGTGAGGGGGGTGGGGGCAAAGAGTGGAGATGACACTGACAGCAGATGACAGAACATAGTCAGGGAGAAGAAAAGGAGGTGAAAGGAGAACATTTTAGAGAAGTACATTTTACGTCACTAACCGGATTTGAACACGGGGCCTATTGAATGAGAGGGTAACACCTTAACCTCTCGACCATGAGAGCGAGCCCCCTTCCAAGGATGAAAATGGCAAACATTCATGTTCAGGAAATGAATGTAACAGTGGATCCAGTACTTTTTAAAAAGAGTTTTATGGCACTTGCAACACAATAAGGTCACATAAGTGCCGAAGATTAGAGGAGTTACAAGAGAGTAACAAACACAAAAAAAGAAGGAGGGGAGATAAGGACGGTAGATGTTTGATAGGAAAGAAGAAGAAAACCACACCAGAGCACCCGCCAACCGCCCAGAGGAAAAAAATATAACAGTGGATCCAGTGCTAACACCTGGACGTGAGTTACCTGTGCCTTGTGCCTGCGTCATGAGCGTGTTGTTGTCGATGAAGCTGAAGTCATAGTGGTCGTCCTCCTGGTCCTCCGGCTCATCTGAGGACGCCTCGCTGCCAGACACCTGGGCCTCCACGTCCACAAAGCCGTGCTTCTGAAGAGGATACAAAACAAAACCAAAGGAGAAAAAAACATTACTTTTGTTAGTTTTATGGGAGAGTGTTTTACTGCACTTGCCACACAATAAGGTCATAAGTGCCGAAGTTTTAGTTTTAGTAGAGGTTTTACGGCGCTCGCAAATGCATAAAGTCAAAATATAAGTGCCGAAGATTAGAGGTGTCACAAGAGAGTAACAAACACAAGAAAGGAGGGGAGATAAGGACGATAAATGCTTGACAGGAAAGAAGGAGCAAAAACCACACCAGAGCACCCATCAACCACCCACAAGCATTACTTTAGATTGGTGTAGTTTAAGTAACACTTTTTTGTTTAAGTAAGAGTTTTACGGCACTTGCAACACAATAAGGTCATATAAGTGCCGAAGATTAGAGAGTAATAAACACAAAAAAAGAAGGAGGGGAGATAAAGACGATCGATTTTTTATTGTTGGAAAGAAGGAGCAAACCACACCAGAGCACCCACCAACCACCCACTAAGTAACACTGTAAGGCACTAGCTACACAATCAGGTCATATAAGATTATATAAATATAAGTGCTGAAGATTACAGGTGTTTCTAGAGAATAACATACAGTGACAAAGAAAAGTTGGGTTGTTTTTTTTTACAGTTATAGTAAGACTTTTACGGCACTCGTGACACAAACAGGTCATAATATAAATGCAGAAGATTACAGGCATCACTAGAGAGTAAAAAGACAGAGACATATTAAGTAGGAGATATGGGTTGATAGATGGTTGATTGGAAAGGAGAACTCCATTATTAAAAGAACTGCATTGGCTCCCTGTAAAAGAACGAATAATATTTAAAATCTGCGTCATGTGTTTCAAATGTGTAAATAAAACTGCTCCTTTTTATCTACAAGAACTTATCAGTATATATAAACCAGGGAGAAACCTAAGATCATCGAACGATAACACCCTACTTGTGACACCTGTAAAATCATACAAATCATATGGAGAGAGATCTTTCTCATATCTTGGTCCATTTATGTGGAACAGATTACCCATGAAACTAAGACAAATAAGAACACTTGATAGCTTCAAAAGACATCTTAAACATTTTCTGTTCCTACAGGCCTATCCTTCATAAGCTTTTAACGTTATCTTTCATTATATTTGTTCTTTTCCTATGTCTGGATGAAAATAGTCTCTCTCTCTGTGTGTGTGTGTGTGTGTGTGTGTGTGTGTGTGTGTGTGTGTGTGTGTGTATGTGTGTGTGTGTGTGTGCATTAATGTATATTGCTTGAGAAGAAAGGAAGTAGTAAGAAAGGTTTTTGAAAAATGGGTATTCCAATGTAAAGCGCATTGAGCTACTTTTTTTGGAAATGCGCTCTATAAATGTTATATATTATTATTATTATGATTAAAAGCACACCAGAGCACCCCTTCCCCCAAAACCGGGTTGCCATTGCAATATTAAGATGTTGGAGTAAAGAGAAGTTCTTCCGCACCATAACGGCCATAAAGTAGGTTTTTAAAAAAGAAAAAAGAAAAAAAAAAAAGAAAGAAAGAAAGAAAAAAAAGGGGGGAAAAAAAGAGAAAGAAAGACAGGTTGAGGCAGAAATGACTGAGTTAAAGAAAAGAAGTAAAACCCAATAGTGGCACCCTCTAACCACCCGCGTAAATATAATACGTAGGGTTTGTTTTGGGTTGGGTTTTTTGTTTTGTTTGAGTTCGAGAGAAACACATCGACTCAACTGCTTCAACCGTGCCGGGGCCAACCCGGGCTGATACAGCCTCCCAGCAGACAGACGGGGTATAGAAAAAAAACAACAAACAAACAAACAAACAAAAACAACCCACCCTTTTCACACTCGGGATCAAACCCACGTCTTCCGCGCGATGACGACGGACGGGATCGGGTTGGGCCGGGTCGGCTCGATCGCCCGACTCGTCGTCTGAAAACAAACGCGTTTGTTTTTGAGGCGACGAGTCGGGCGCGATCGGCTAGCAAATCGACCCGACCTGACTCGACCCGATCCCCCAATTGGCACATTTTAAACGCCGTTGCGCCAGTCGCGTGCACGATTCCAGGAACAAGGTAAAGGATTCGGTTCAAACGAAGGACAGGGGGGATTGGATACGTTGTACTAGTAGTACATAGCGTTCGGGCATACGATGTGGGCTTGAAGGATGCTACTGGCAGTAAAAGTGGCACGTCCTTAACTACATGTATAATTGTTTTTAAACATTCCATATATTTATATTTTGTGACTTGTTTTAGTAAAAAAAAGAATTACGGCACTTGCAACACAATAAGGTCATCATTATATAAGTGCCGAAGATTAGAGGTGTTACAAATGAGTAACAAATACCCCCCCCCCCCGCAAAAAAGGAGGGGAAAAATGGACAATGGACGTTTGATAAGAAAGAAGAAACAAACTACACCAGAGCACCCGCCAACCCACATTTTGTGTCCGTCTTTGTCTTGCTTTGCCCTTGTACTTCTTGCAAGTTATTCACACGCTGTGCTTCTCTTTCGCGTAGGCAAATCGAAGCCAACGCTAAGCATTTGCGTTTTGATGGAGGTTGGAGAGAGCTTATCCTTAATTATCCCTCCTTGCTGTGGTCTCTATGATGACCAGGGGCGGTTTGTTAACTGGACAAGACCGGCGGTGCCGGTCAAATTTTTGTCAACTGGACAGTTGACAAGAGATTTATTGCTGATGATGATTTTCATTCAGTTTTAAGTAAATCCAAACAAACATGTATCAACAGTCAAAAAGCGCCTTGCCGATTTGAAGGCGTTCAAATAGACAAGTGATTCACAGCTGTTTTGTCGCGTTTGTTTATCACGCCGGCTCACAACTGTTACAGTTAAATCGTCTCCTGTCACGTCGCGGAACTTCGTACGAGGACAAACCGAATACGGCTCGCTCAGCGATGACGTCAGTCCGCTGGGCAAATCCATCGACAGCCTACAGAGGGAATAGAACATCCCTTAATTGCCAAATTGGCCTCTGTGTTGCTTACAAAATTAAGAATGAGACTGTCTTGAGCAGCACGGACACATGTATTATTTTATCAGCAATACATGTATTTATCATTCAGCCTTTCTATATCTATTGTAAGAACATTTATTGTCAGCATGGCACTAATCTTTTTTTGTTTATTGAATTTTTAGCCACCTATAGTTCCTGTTTGGTATTAATTCATCGCTTTTTCCCCACTAAAAACTTACCTGGCCCATAGGAGTCTGGCCGGCGAAAGGAGGAATCGTCTAGTTAAGATATATAAGGAGAATTATAACGAGGAGCGATAGGCACTCGGCTGTCACAGTCTGGGCCGAGAACAGTTAGGCCTACCCCTCCCTTCCCTCCCCCTTTCCATCGTCATCCCAGCAAGACACCAAGTTCTATAATTAGCGTTTGACACACTTCCCCACTTTGTTACAACAGTGTTCTGTTCTGAGAACTGAGAAGCGCAATGAAAAACGTTTGATGATATAATGATTGGAAACTGTTGTGTGCTAACTTGGTCCAGCTTTGTATAGCATCTGATTGTAGACTTGATCTGCATGGGACAGCGTCACTGGTACAGTATCAATTGACTTTTTGTCATCATACACTTTCAGTTTGTTTTCTAGGATAGTTGTGTTCCTTTTTCTGTGCCGATCAAGTCAGTTTCTATTAGTCTCAGTAACTTCCATCATACGTTATTCGTTTCTTGACACTACCATATTTTAGCTCTTTAACATTATATTATAATGTTTACAATGGTGTGTGTGAGTTGGGGAGGGGGTGGGGATGGCGAAAGCAGGGGAAAAAATGATGAGAGAGGAGAGAGAGAGAGAGAGAGAGAGAGAGAGAGAGAGAGAGAGAGAGAGAGAGAGAGAGAGAGAATGTGTGAGTATGTGTGTGTGTGTGCGTGCGCGCGCGTGTGTGTGTGAGTATGGGTGTGTGTGAGAGTGTGTGTGTGTGTGTGTGTGTGTTGTGAAGGAAGGGGGTGGGGTGGGGGGAGTGAGAAAGAGTCGATGTGAATGACGCCGATCAGTTCTATAAACCACGAACCGCCACTGATGATGACCTGCTTTTCCGCCGCACTAAACACACACCACTATGAACCATTTTGACGGTGATAGCCTGTGTAATCTACTGTTCAAGTTTCGTCAAATCTACATTTGATAGGCCTACATTTGCAACATTTAGAGGCAGCCAGGTTGTTTTCCTTCTTGGAGTTGGAGTAGGAGGGCGGGGCAAAGGCAACCATTTTTGCACAATTTGATCGAATCCTTCAAAATGAAACTTATCTGATTTTCTTGAACACCATTTGAGTAAGAGTACAGTAAATGTGCGAGTTTAACGCCCCCTTTCAACACTATTTATTTGGTTACTTCCACCGCTTGATACACAAAATGAAAACAACTTATAAATCAGAAGGCTAGTACGCATTTGACACAGTGTGCACAGACGCACGTGCGCATGTGTGTGTGTGTGTGTGTGTGCGCGCGCGCGCGCGTGTGTTCTGTGTATGTGTGTGCACGCGTGCGTGCGTGTGCATATGTTGTGTGTGTGCGTGCGCACGCAGTTTTAGGCAGTAGAGAGACTATCACAACGCGTGAAGAGTACTAAGTCGAGCTCATCGTTTTGAAGACGCCGGGCTGTTCCGAGTAACGCGAGTGTTCCCGCAACTCACGCGCCTCGCTAAATATAAAAACTCCTCACTTCCCAAACGTCGGGGCAGTCGGTCAGGATTTCCTCATCAGCAGGTTCGAGCGCGTAGGTGACTCCTTCGCTTATATTTCATTCAGCCTCGAGCGGGTAATTCAGCAAAAAAGAGTAGTTTCAAATGCGGGAGGAAGGGAATCCGACAATAATTTAACAGCGCAGACTGAACCATGCCGCGGACACTGGCTGAGACTGTGAGTGCAGATGTATTATACCTCTTTCAAGACATTTTCGACCGCTTAGGAGGCGGGCACTAGCAGCAGTGTCCTCACTTCCCCGACGAAACATCCATGCACGTAAGTACAGTA